GATGGGGCCCTGGGCAGCCTGGTCTAGCATTAGGTGGGATGGTTGGTGGCCCTGCGTGTGGCAGGGGGGTTTGAGATTCATCATCCTTGAGGTCCCTTCCAACCCTGGCCGTTCTGTGATTCTGTGAGTGGTGTCCCCCATTGGGAAGCAGTGCTCTTTCACCCCCTTATCAATGGCACAGCCCGAGCTGTGCTGTGATCCTGTGGCTGTGCTGGCTGGGACAGCCCTGCTGGCTCCTGCTGTGAGCTGCTCTGCTCGGAGCTCTGGCAGCACCTGTCTGTCCGTGGGCTGTGGGGTCAGAGCAGTGGGGATGCAGGCCCATCCTCTGCTGCCCTGCTCTGCCCCAGGCCCATGCACGGAGACTGGCAGCGTGTGGAATTGCTTTAATTTGCTCACAGATGTTGGCATTTCCGCTCAGCCTGCCCGGCTCGTCTTAATTAGCTCAGGAGAGCGTTGGCTGTTGCTGGAAACAGCTAATTGGGACAAGCAGCGGGATTAACAGATTTGCTAGTTGTGCAATTTGGGATGTCATCTTCAGAGCACGTTTAACCTCCCCGGCTGTACTGCAGCCCCAGGGAATGGTGCTGTGCTGGTCGTGCTGCCGAGCAGCTCGGTGGCAGCTCGGGGCTGGCTGCTCGTGGGACAGGCAGGTGTTGCTGCTGCCCGAGCTCCAGCCGTGTGCCCCACACTTTGTGCCCCACACTTTGTGCCCGAGCCCCACACCTGGCTCCATGCCCAAGTCCTGTACCCAGCTCCGTGCCGAAGTAATTCCTTACCCAAACCCCACGCCCAGGTCCTTTATCCACTCCCCATGCTGGATATCGGGGGAAGTTGTTTGCTGTGAGAGCGGTGAGGTGCTGGAACAGCTGCCCAGAGAGGCTGTGGATGCCCCGTCCATCCCTGGAGGTGTTCAGGGCCAGGTTGGATGGGGCCCTGGGCAGCCTGGTCCAGCATTAGGTGCAGAGGTTGGTGGCCCTGTGTGTGCTAGGGGGGATTGGAGCTTCATGATCCTTGAGGTCCCTTCTAACCCTGGCCATTCTGTTCTATGATTTTCATACCCAAGCTCCATGACCAAGTAATTCCTTACCCAAACCCCATGCCCAGGTCCTTTACCCAACCCCCATGCCTGGGCTCCATGTCCGAGTCCCATAGAATCACAGAATCCTTAGAGTTGGAAGGGACCTTTGAAGGTCATCAAGTCCAACCCTCCTCCAATGAACTGGGATGTATTTCAGCTCCATATGCCAAAGTCCCATGCCCAAACCCCATAGCCATGTCCCATACACAGCTTCATACCCAAGCTCCGTGCCAAAGTCATGCAGCCAAATCCCATACCCAAGCTCCATACCCAAAGTCCCCATACCCAAAGTTCCCATACCCAAGCTCTGTACCCAAAGTCTATGCACAATTCCCATACCCAAGCTCCATGCCAAAGTCCCATATCTAAGCCCCATACCCACGTCCTATACCCAAGCTCCATGCCCCAGCCCCATACCTAAGCCCCATGCCCCTACCCAAACCCCATGCCCCAGCCTGGTGCCCAGCAGCACGGCCACTGCCCTGTTCAGGTCCTGGCAGCAGCACGGTGAACGTGGATGTTGTCTGGAGCTGATCTCCATCCCTGGTGATCTTGCATTGCTCAGGTGATAACGACTCCCAAGCTGATGAACTGCAGCTGAGGGGCTTCAGGAGGTGGGACCCTTATGTGTCCTACAGAAACCTGGGGCTGATGTCTGGGAAGGGAAGGGAAGGGAAGGGAAGGGAAGGGAAGGGAAGGGAAGGGAAGGGAAGGGAAGGGAAGGGAAGGGAAGGGAAGGGCTTCATAGAACCACAGGATGGGTTGGGTGGGAAAGGAGCATCAGCCCCATCCAGTTCCAATCCTTGCCACCCTTCCTGTTGTAATCATGGTTGATGATGCTGTGTTCTGTTTTGTTTTGCACAGAGTGGAAACAGCTTCCATGTGTTTGACCAAGGACAGTTTGCCAAGGAGGTGCTCCCGAAGTACTTCAAGCACAACAACATGGCCAGCTTCGTGCGGCAGCTCAACATGTGTGAGTACTGGGGCAGCCCGTGGGGCTCAGGGCTGCAGTGAGGTGCCAGGCTTTAACCCAGGGAGCGTTTGCTGCCTTTGCGACCCATTCAGTTTTGGGGAGCCAGCGGGAAGTCGAAGGTCGACTGATGGGATCGACAGCACTGCAAACTTGTGCTGGATGAAAAGAGCTGTCGGACTTCTTTCATCTCCGCAGCCCCGATTATTAGATGGGGAGCTCTCAGTGCCTGCTTTGTGCTCGCTGTCATTAGCTGCCAGCCCTGCAATGAAGGAGGAACTCGCCTGGAACGCGTCCAGCTGGACTGAGCTGCCACGCACAACAGCTTGTTCATTTTCTGCCTGCTTCCTTCAGGGGATGTTGCGGTCAGCGTTATGTAAAGCAGACACTGACTGAACTTGCACTTCTCAGCAGCACTTAACTTTCTTCCTGTCAGAGCTGCAGCGGTCAGAGCAGGGCTGGAAGGATCTCGGTCCTTTGAGTCAGGTGCCACCATCTCTGGGCTGCTCTGATGGCGTTGTGCCTCACCTGGGCTTTCTAAGCCTCCAGCGGTGAGATGAGATTCAGCCCACGGCTTGGGCAGGTGCACTCGTGGCTGGGTAGATTGCTGGCTGGGTGGCTGGGCCCAGGCAGTGATGGTGAATGGAGTCACATCCAGCCGGCAGCCGGACATGGGTGCTGTTCCCAGGGGATCAGTACTGGGGGCCATCCTGTCCAGTGTCGTTATTCGTGATTTGGCTGTGGGCATTGGGTGCACCCTCAGGCAGTTTGCAGTGGGGAAGCGTTGATCTGCCCAGGGTAGGAAGGCCCTACAGAGGGACCTGGACATATTGGATTGCTGGGCTGAGGTCGGTGGGATGAAGTCCAGCAGGACTGAGCTCTGGGTCCTGCACTTTGGCCACACCAGCCCCAGGCGACGCTGCAGGCTTGGGCAGAGTGGCTGGAAGGCTGCATGGGGGAAATGGACCTGGGGTGTGTGCTGGTCAGTGCTCGGCTGAATGCGAGCCAGTATTGTGCCCAGGTGGCCAAGGAGGCCAACAGCATCCCTGCTTGTGCCAGCAGCAGTGCAGCAGCAGGAGCAGGGAAGTGATCATCTCTGCACTCAGCATTGATGGGAGCACACCTCAGTGCTGTGCTCGGCGTTGGGCCCCTCGGTACAAGAAGGACATGGAGTGCATCCAGAGAAGGGCAGCTGAGCTGTGAGGGGTCGGGAGCACCTTAAGGTGAGCAGCTGAGGGAACTGAGATGGTTCAGTGTGGAGAAGAGGAGCTCAGGGGAGCCATTATTGCTCTCTACAACTGCCTGAAGGAGGGTTGTGGTGAGGTGGGGGTCGGCCTCGTCTCCCCTGTAGCAGTGATAGGGCTAGAGGAATGGCCTCAGGTTGTGCCAGGGGACATTCAGGTTGGACATTGGGAAAAACTCCTCTCAAAGGGTGATCCAGCACTGGCATGGGCTGCCCAGGGAGGTGGTGGTGGAATCCCCATCCCCGGAGGTGTCCAGGGAACATTTTTGTGTTGTACTGCGAGACAGCAGTGGTTAGTGGGGAATGGTGGGTGGACATTTGGACCAGGTGATCTTGGAGGTCCTTTCCAACCTTGGTGATCCTGTGATTCTTTTCCTTCAGGGAATGCTTTTACCGTAGGGATGGTGATTGTCTGACCCGAGCTGTCCCTGCTACTATTCGCACCCTCTACATCACAGTGGGCCTGGGTTGAAAAGGACCCCAGGGATCATGAATCCCCAAACTCCTGCCACATGCAGGGCCACCAACCTCCATATTTAATACCAGCCCAGGCTGCCCAGGGCCCCATCCAACCTGGCCTTGAACCTCCAGGGATGGACGGGGCACCCACAGCCTCTCTGGGCAGCTGTTCCAGCACCTCACCACTCTCACAGCAAACAACTTCTTTCATCATTGCTGGGGAAATCATAAAGAAGAGACACGGTCCTTTTTTCTTTGAATCTTTGTGTCTTTGAAGGCATCAGGGAATCACTGAGGTTGGGAAAGGCCTTTAAGATCACAGCATCCAACCATGACTTAACACATCCACCTCTAAACCCCGTCCCTCAGTGCCACGTCCATGCGTCTCCAAAATCCCTGCAGGGGTGGGGACTCCCCCACCTCCCCAACCCAGCTGCCCTTTGCATAAAGAAGTTGTTCTTGATATCCAGTCTAAACTCTGCTGCCACAACTTGATATCCTCTCTTCAATCCTCTTTATTATTTTTTTCATTTTTTTCTTCCCCCTAAGAGTAACCAGACCTGGTTTTGATTCTGCTGGGCTGTTTTCCAGCTTTCAGTCATCTGCATTCCGTTCCGCACTGACTCTGTTGCATCTGGGCTGAAATGCAGCATTGAATTTATCACTGAGTGCAATGCACAGAGCAAGTCACATCCTGAAGGAGTTACTGCTGTGCACGGTGTGTGATGGCACTGGCCTTTTGCTGCAGAGCATCTCCCACCAGACTTTGCTTGTCTTTTGAATGGTGCACGTGTGTAGGTGAGGAGTGGCACTGGTTTGCATCTGTCCTCTGAGAAGTGTTGAGAGTTATCAGGGAATGAGGGATTCCACCTCCCCTTGCAGCTGAGGACAGGGGTGCCCAAATATCAAACCCTGCCAGGAGACCAGGGGTGATGCTGGACTGGCTCTGTGTCATCATGGGATCACGGATGGGTTGGGTTGGAAGGGTGCTTAAAGATCATGCAGCTGTGGAGTGCTTGGGTTGGAAGGGTCCTTAAAGATCATAGAGCCATGGGACGGTTGTGTTGGAAGGGTCCATAAAGATAGCGGAGACACAGAGTGGTTGGGTTGGGCTGGAAGGGTCCTTACAGATCATAGAGACATGGAATGGTTGGGTTGGAAGGGACCTGAAAGATTGTGGTGCCATGAGATGGTTGGGTTGAGAGGGTCTTTAAAGATCATAGAGCCATGGGATGATTGTGTTGGGTTGGAAGGAACAGAGTCATGGGATGGTATTGGAAGGATCCTTACAGATCATAGAACCATGTGGTGATTGGATTGGAACGGTCCTTAAAGATCACAGAGATATGGAATGGTTGGGTTGGAAGGGTCCTTAAAGATCACAGAGCCATGGAATGGTTGGGTTGGAAGGGTCCTTACAGATCACAGAGCCATGGAATAGTTGGGTTGGAAGGGTCCTTACAGATCACAGAGCCATGGAATGGTTGCGTTGGAAGGGTCCTTACAGATCACAGAGCCATGGAATCACAGCACAGTTGGGCTGGATGGGACCCCCCAGCCCCACCCCTGCCCTGGGCTGGGTGCCCCCCTCAGCTCAGGCTGCCCAGGGCCCACCTACAGCCCTGATGGGTTGGGGTTGGACTCGGGGATCTCAGAACCCCCTTCCAACCTCAGTGGTTCCACTATCCCATGATCTTCGTGTCCTTTGCCTCACTGGGGTGACTGCATGACGTGACGTTTTGGTGTTGGCACGCTGGATTTGGGGTCCTGCGTTGCAAATGAGGAAACGTAACCACCACCTTCAGGTGTTCCTAATTCCTTTTTTGCATGTGTGTTGAGGCTGTGCTTCAACGTGATCCAGCTCTTCCCACTCTGCATTAAGGAAGGGAAGCTGTAAGGGAGATCTGTCAGCTTGTGCTGGGTTTGAGCATTTCAGCTCACATAAAGCTGGGGGAGGCGAGGTCTGTGTGTCCAAACATGGGAGCAGTTCAGGGTTTGTCCCCACTCTGCTCATCCTGTGCTGGAAGAGAGGAGCTTTGCCCAAACTGCACGGCAAATTTCTGTGCACAAAGGCCGCCTTCGGAGCGGCCCTGCTGGAGATCAGCCCTGGTCTCCAGATGTGGCCTTGGAAGCGTTCAGCTGTAGCAGGGGCTGATATTTTCATTGTCTGTCAGCACCTTGAGGGCTGCGGGGCATTTCTGCAGGGCCCTTTGCACTCTGAGGATCCCTCGGATGGCCGAACCCCGGCTCATCCCACGGTGTGACATCACATCTCTGCATGGCTCATTGCTGGGAGCGTGGGGGGCTTTTATTCCAGCCCAGCTGTGGGCTGACAAACAGCACCGCAAAGCTGCGGGCTGCCAGGTCCCCACCCACGGCCTCGGGCACCTCCAGGGATGGGGCACCCACAGCTCTGGGCAGCAGTGCTGGGGCTGCACTGCCTCTGGGTGAAGGATTTCCCCACATCTGCCCCCACGTCTCCCCTTTGAGCTTCAAGCTGTTCCCTTTGGTCCCATCACTGCTCTTCTACATCGCTCTCCTCCTGTTTCTGGGCTCCCTGTAAGC